TTATTATTATTATTATTATTATTATTATTATTATATTATTATTATCTATTCTACTATTATTATTATTATTATTATTACTTCTTATTATCACTTCTTATTGCTATTTCTTCCTTAATTATCCCCTCCTGTCCATATTCGTTCTTTGAGGACCTAAAATTGCATCACTGATCGTACTATTGATTGCTCATATCTCTTTCTAACTGCTCTCCATTTGAAGAGTGCTGCCTACTTCCTGTGATTTGTTGATAATCGTCGAGTCGTCTTCCCTATTATCATTTATTACCATTATTATTATTATCGTTATTATTATTATTATTGCTATTATTATTATTATTACTATTGTTGTTGTTATTATTATTATTATTAACATTTATTATTCATTATTTATTGTTATCATTTATCAATTATTAACTATTAATTATTAACTATTATCTGGCGTTATTATCCTTGTTTTTGAAAGAATGTAAGAGAAATTAGTTTGTTTAATGAATCTGTTTGCAGAAAATGATTCATTACCAAATAAGCAACTGTTAAGTCAGACATTTTTTTACAGTGACAAAAGAAACAAGTAATTAATGGTGACAGTAGTGATCAAGGTGTAATGTCGTCATCAACATTATCGTCCACTTCATCCTTATCCATATCGGCTAGTAATGTTCAGCAACAACAACAGCCACAACAACTTCTACAACCTGTTCAAAGTCAGGCAGTTGAAGATAAAAATAAATCGAGCAGTGGTCAGATCATTATATCATCGCTGCCATCAGTGGGAGCCGAAGAGAGTGTGACCGTCGTCCGAATGAGGAACAGACCACTTTCTCAAATTCAACAACAGGTATGTGTATTCTTCAATAATATCCGGAATAAATATTACATTTTCAAAATGAGATATTAATGTTATGCTGTGATCAAGTATTCAAATATGATCGAATGTGCCTCATGGTTTAAACAAGGAAGGGAAACAAGAATCTGTAATGGGTAAGTCTCGAATGTTATCCTTGGCCGATTAGAAACCTGGGACGTATTAGCTCCCAGATAGTAATTTTTTCGTAAAATACTTGAAGCTGACATCAATTTTTTCTACATACATCGTACAAGCTATATATGCATATAGAAGACGCTGTTATTTATGAAGATTTATAAATTGGCACTTCAAATTAAAAATTTGAAAGTTGCTAATAATATATTCTTTGTCACGGTTTTTTATCTCTTGCTTTTCTTCATAAAAACCTTTCAAAACGATTTGGAGAAATGGATGACTAACTGAAGTGTTTCTCTATTTTTACTGCTAAAGTTTGTTTTTGTCCATTTGGAGAAGGGAAAATTGACTCATTTCTTCATTTTCCTTCGATTTTTAATTAGGCACTCAGAGAGCACAGATTTTAAGAATATTTCTTTCTCTGTTACATTTCAAAATCGCCAAAATAATCTAATAAATGTGCGGTTTTACTGTGCAGTAAGTATATCTCAGGCACAGCTGTTTCTGGCATTTTTCCTATCTCCCAGTATGGTGCCTTCAATAGTCATGTGTGATTTGCAATTGTTTTCAAATTCTAATTTGATCTAATCGAAATTAATTAGTTTGGGAAGGGTTCTGGGTTTTTCAGCTTAATTAGTTTACTAGTTGTAAATAACAAGTCAAACTTGCAGTTTAAATGTGGAAGTTTGCAGTCACTTTAAAGCTAATAGTCTAATACTCAAATTTTAAAGGCAAGAACAAATGGTATTACACCAGAAGCGAATGAAAACAACAAAAGTAGTTCACTTGCGGTGCTACAGCATGGTCTTGAAGTGCTCAACGAAATGACACCGGAAGATGATGGGAATGACGGTATTACTTTTCTAAAATACTTTCTAAAATGCTTGTTAGTAAGCTTTACTATGATGAGCAAAAAGTTCCTTTTTGTACGGTTGTCTTTGTTTATAAATGAATAAATGGTCGATGTCCATACTGCCACTCTTTCCCTTCTTTATTTCTAAGTTAAACAATGGAACTAGTTATAAATATGCATATATCAATCACTTCCCTGTGTTTTTTTTCTGCAAATTCGTGTTTTTTTTTAGCATTCTTTGTAGAAAACATTTCATCCCTTGCAAAGCGAATTTTTTGTTTTACTTTATTCCTTGGCATTTTTAAGTTTTTTTCTTTTTTTTTTTTGTTAGAGATTCGAAGATTGGATTCGCAATTGGACCATTTGAATCATTATATGGATAAAGTTGAGGAAAGAATCAAGGTACACAATGAAAAACTGATGGATACTCTGAGACATAAGAGAGAAGAACGCGAGAAAAGACGTCGTTCTTTTCATGAAGTAAGAATGTTTCCTTCTATTTTAAAAAGGCTGAAATAGTAAATGGAAGCGAAAAGTTTCCCTAGAATATAGATATGAATTTGAAACAGATATGTCAGAGCATTAGAATTATGTGTCGATGATCTGTAGGATTAAGTTGAAGCATTCGGTAAGCTGAATATAAACAAATTTATCTCTAGTTATCGTGTAAAGAATATAACTTGCCAGGCTCTGTCTCACTATCTGTTTTTCTTGGCCAAATTTCATATAAATAGTGTTGGGAGATCTTTATTCAGTTTGATATTTAACTTAAATTATTTAATGAAAAACAGTAAATATTATTCGACTGCAACTTTCAGCGTATTAATTCATTTCTGTCTATACATCATGAATGCTGTTTACAATCAGAGTTAACATGTAGCACTGATGTGGGCAAAAAAGGCATTTAAATAGGATTGATAGTTGAATCAGGGATTCTGGATTTTTTGAAGCCTCTTATCATTTACATCACTTTCTTTTCATACATTGATAAGCAACTTTTAATTGCGCCATTGGTAGAGAATTTGCGGTAGAGAAGTTGATAAGTTATGCAGTTGCTTTGCTGTAAGTTGCTATAAGTTACTATAAAGTTGCTATTTAAATTGATTTTAAAAGTTGTGCTGTTGGTTGAAAATAAACAATACAGTGAACTACAACGTTGAAAATCTGCAATTGAAGTTCGACTCTTCGTTAAACAAATCAATAATAGCATTCTTCAATATTACGTCTTCTTTCACATTGAAAATCGTTTTCGGCAAAATACAATAGCATGCTATACAGCTGTGCATCGCTGATTAAATCTTCGAATAATTGCTTTCGAATAATTGCTCCAATCGCGCAGACTTTTTTGTGTTGTTTTGAATTGATGTGGCATTCAAAAATGTCAGCTTATGATGTATTCATTTGGTGGGTAGATCAGTGAGCCATTTTCATAGGCATACATTTCTATATGAAAATCCGGTCTTTCAATGCAGGCAGATTGGGAGAATAGAAGAAAAGGCAAAAATTCAAATAACTGGATCGCTTAGTTAAGATTTTTTAGAGCACTGCTAGAAAATATTTGGAAATTTCATGCATGAACAAATAAATTGCAGCCCTCAGGAAAAATTCTGGGAAATTCTCATTCAGTCCGTTATAATTTTCTATAAAATTGAATCTTCGAGTTCTGAGTGAATTCCTTTCTGAAGCCCTTATTTACCTGTTTTTTTTTTCGTTCCAAATAAATAAATTTTGCCAAAACTACATTTGTCTGTTTTTATCTTAATGTTCTCTTACCTTCGAAACATGAATGTGAATATTAGTATACTCTTTGGGATAGGAAAAGCGAAGCTTAGTTAGTCGAACTAAATTAGTAATTCTTTTTAATAGAAAGAACAACAGTGACTTTATTTCCGATCTGTCACCTGAATATCTGGCATTGTGCTGTCGGCCATAAAAATGATTAAATTAATTTCTTTTGTTTGAAAAACTAGCAACCAGTTATCAGTTTTTAACCTTCACTTTGTTCTAATGAGATGAAAATGAGCGTTTTATTATTCTCACTGCCTGTCATTATATAATCGTTTTTTAGAATCATATTTCTTGAAGCGAGACCCTTCTTTGAACTTTCCGAAAAATTCTTCAGTGTAGTCCATTTCTATGATTACATTTCCAAAACCCTGTTTACTCCATTTTAGTATATTTGCAAGAAAATTTTATTTGCCCTCAGACTTAATTAATACCCTGATAAACTAGGCTAAAATAACAATGGTGTGGAAATTCAAGACTGGTTTTTAAGTTCCCTAAACTTAAAGAGTAGGTATGCTCTAAGACTTTGCAGGAAATTAATAGCGTTGCTGTCTTGACTCTTACTAATTTTGATTCTTAGCAGCTTCTGGACTCTCCGAGGTAATCTTAATATGAATTTATTATTTTGATTGTTTGTCGTTATGTAATCTTTTGTTATAATCATTATATTTCTAATTTTCCAGTCTGTTTCAAGACTTCTGATAGTAATCTCAAGTGCTTCAGAAACATAGGAATACATTTATTGGATCTGGCTATTGCTATCCTTTCACTTACCTGTTATTGGACTCTGCAACTTACTGAAAAATATTTGTGAGAGCTTTTTGTTTTAAGCATCTAACAAATTTTCTCTTCCATTTACTGTATTCACTTGTTTTCAATCGGATCCGAAAACAAAAACAGTTTTTGAAATGTATGTCTTTCAGTTCATTAGCAGCTCATTTGGTGTTCTCAGAAAATTTACATCCGGAGAAAATTACCCATTCTGTTTCATGAATCAATTACGACTCTGTTTATTGGGGGGTGCTTCATCGAAGTTATATTTGGCAACAGAACACAAATTCTTCTAGTCGTTTTTTTTTATTCAAGGATCCTTCCTTCAGTATTCATGTAAATTCAAAGAATTTGTAAAATAAATGATCGAATTCTCTGTCTGAAAACTATATCTAAGCTAACTTTGTGGACTTCAGCAATGCTTCAACTTAAACATCCACAAAGCGAATAGATTCTAAATTGGGATACTAACCTCACAAACAAATTCATGCTTCTCTGTTCCCATCGGATTATTTTTCCTCTGAAAACGTTGTAATTGTGATTTAAAATACCGCCATTCTTTTTGAATTCGTAAGGAAAAAAAGTGAACTTTTGACGATAGAATGCTATTTATGGACTGTGGTCGAATTTTATTGGTAAAAGACGCTACTGACGTCATGGAGAATATCATGCTAACTTCATGGGATTACTTGTTTTTCTTCTGTCCTCCTTTCTTTTATCATTTCCAGTTTCATTTCAATTGAAGTGATTATACCAAATTGAGACGTTAAATTCTCAGTGATTCCAGAATTAGGAACGATCAAGGTTCTTTGTAAAAATTCGTAAGTGTTGCAGCGTATTGCATTGAACCAGCGAGAAGATGATGACTTTCAACGACAAATTTCAACTCTCCTAAGTCGTGTTGACATATCGAAGAATCGCGCATCAATGTACGATATTATCAGTCAAATGGAAATTCCAAAATCTAACGGGCAGTAATTTTTTTGGAAAATTTGATGCTACAGTTGCTGGGTAGCAAAAAGTTAACGTGAGATACTATTTTATTATTTTAAGACATTTTGAAAAGTTCATATATCTCTACTCAACAGTTTATATCATGCTTATAAAATAACTTTTCTTGTGTGAAACATTTCATAATTGTAGCTTTCTCAACTAATGGAAATTCCGAGCATTTTTAAACCTATCTTGAAAACTATGCGAAATTTTTAATAGGGGAAAATTGAATCCTAACTTTTAAAGTGCTCCTACGAATTGTATCTATGTAACTTGAATAGTTTTTCATAATCAACACATCACCCGCAATTAACTGGACAGTACAACAGTATCCATTTACCAGGAAACTATTAACGTGGGAAATTGTGCGCCTCTAACAATGTTGTCTCCTTCAGTGCACTCACATTATATTGTACTTTAATTTGTAATACCGCTGCTTCACTGTACTTTTATGTACAAATAATATCGAAAGCTTTTCTTCCTTTTTTTTCTCAGCGATTTTGAAACATCTTAAAAAGTGTTTTCACATTGACGACAGCAACCAAATACTATATGATCCTTTAAAGATTTATTTAAAATCTTTACCATAGAATCTCATGCTATCACGGTAATGTGGTACGATAAGGTTACTATTATGCCATTTGTAACTTAACCAAAGATTATGTAGACTAGTTAGCACAGGGTAGGAATAAAGTAACTATCACGACTGCTATTCATACATAAATACAAAAATGTGCTAATTCGAATTTAAAAAATTTCAAAAGCAGCACTGAATAAAAAATTGGCTTTTAAATGGCGCTTCTGCATATATTTGCACTTCTTTCTAGTTACTACTACTGATTTACGTATAGTTATAGTAATCCTATAACGTTTCTCTTAAAAGGAATAATTTCGAACTACGCTTTGCATAAGTAATCAATAATTTTTCGACTGAATTTCTGGAAGGTTTGCATTTTTATTCATGCTTATGAAACTTCTAAACAACTGCATGAGTACAACGATTCGATTCAGTGCTGTTCTAATAATTCAGATCCAAGATTGCCTTTCTCATTATAAAAATCACATGTAGGATATAGCATCACTGTCAACTACTAACCGTAGACCTCTTAATTAGTTATCAATAATATCAAATAGTGCATTATACGCCTCTTCTTATGCGCTACCTTTTCGCAATCTTACAATACAATAAATATAAATAGAAAAAAAATATATGGCCAAGTACCATAAATGGATCTACAAAATAACTGAGCATATAACATGATAGAACTGAAGTTAGAAGAGTATCCGCAAATAAATCCTCTGTCTAAATGGGTGAACTGCTTCATTCCATTGTCGATATAATTTACATTTTAAAAAATGGTACAAAAAGGACGGAGGCGGTAAATGAATTAAAGAAAAGGAGTGACAATTAGTGGGGATGCAACTATTAAGTGAAGGAAGAGATACAATGATGGTAGCAATGTTCGCAAGAGAGTAAAAGCTGGCTAATGAACGATCATTGGCTACGATTCCTACATTAGTTGTGACTGTGACGACAACACTGTTGATGGTACCTTCCATACAAGCTTATCAGTAAGATCGAATGCGAATAGGTCAATTAGATAACAGGGATTAATGTCTAAATACACGGTTCGGAATTACCATACCAAGGTTTGAAACTATACAGCGGGTCAAATGAATAAGACTTGAGAAGTGCAATAAGACTAATAAGTTGTTACACTTCCTGCTTTTTTATACTGTGTCCGTTATTAAACTCTTCGTGTATTGATCGTGATTACCCATGTTTTCCAGCTTAACAAGTATTGCCAAAAGTCTCTACTGGATATTCCATTTATGTGTTATTCGCATTCTTACCTGTGGAGACTCACTCTGAGGTAAAAACATGTAGAGAAGGAATTTAAAATTACGCTTAACTTCCATTGTCATGTTTCAATTTTAAGCAGGTTTGCGGGTAATTAGGAAGGAGACTTTGCTTCAGTGAATTCCCAAACAACCGCTATTTCTCGAAGTATGACAAACTCTTTGTGATTTAGTATGATGCATTTTACATGAAAAGTAGTTCTAAATTTTTGAATTTCAAAAAAGTGGTTTGAGTTGATTTTTTCAACAGCAATAAACTGGTACTCGAAACTGATGACAGAAAATGCTTGGTAGAAAAACTTAACTAGAAAAGGTTATAATAAATGTTTGAAACTTCGAGATTTACAAACTTCCAGAGAGGAAAAACTGAGTTATATGTATTTTGTCTATGCCACTTTTATTGGCTTGAGTATTTGTTAAGTGAAGGTCATATTTTATGTTGAATAGGTCACCTTCTGGTCACTTGTGTAAAAGCACATTGCTCAATGTTAGGCATTTTTCGAGTCTGATTTAACCAAAAGAATGCTTCCACTTTATGCATTCATACAATATCTTCTGCTAGAAGTGAACTTTTTGAGAAAGATAGGACGCCTATGCTAAACATGAGCTCTAAATTGACATGCACTCTTTATTAATATGATTTGACACGAGATACTAAGAGGAAAGACGCAGTTCTATATACTTCCCTAAAATATTTTGATAATTTTCCCAAACCTTCCGTTGCTGGACTCTATACTTTTTTAATTCCTAAATAATGTCAACTCCATAAGCTAGGATGTTGTCGCTTTACAAATGTTCCTGACTAGGAACCGATAAATGGATAACCATCACTAATTACCTTCAACCATTTCATGTCCAAGTTGATATTTAAATTTCAAAATATTTATATCAAGGATGCAGTTGCTGATACCATACTAAACAAAATTAACTTCGATAAACTGTTCGCAAAACGCAGCATACTTGATCATTTCACCAAAACCACAGATTTTAATTAGCATATAGCTACATCGGAATATAGAGCCAAATTAGGTTAAGCAATTTACTCCTTTGCTTTGCGATTTTATGTTGAATGCATCTTACTAAATTGATATAGTGTATATCATACCTACTGATTTCACAATCTGCGTTTGTTTTCCGAAAACAAGCAATCACAGATTGTTAACACGACTTCCTCATTTCCACCGGTTATTGTATAGCTACAACTTTCAAGCATGATCGTATCGCTTCAAAAGAATTTCAAAGTAAAGCAGTTTTAGGCCAGATTTTTATTGAGATTTAGAGAATTGCTATTCCAAATATTATACTCCACTCAGGAATTCAGGCTTTTTGTAATCCATCAACTTGAACCTAATACAACATTATAACATAAACAGTCCTTCTGATATTCAAATTAACGATTTTAAGCTTCCCAGTTTTGATTTTCAAACTCCAGAATCCTTTATCAGTGGGCAATAAATTGTACTTAAGCGGCGAGATATAATAATATGCAATTGGTGAACTTCATCAAACAAAATCCATCGAATCCTGAGTAACTCTACGCACCCAGAGCACAGCAAGATAACGGAACAGCAGTACGAATCAAAATCATCTTTACGATGACAAACCATAACTGAACACAAAAATACATATTAAAGGTAAGTACTATAATTCCTTTAGAAGTTTGAAGAAATAATTTCGAAAAATTATAACTACATCGAAAATTGTATTCATAAACATAAACCGCAATGATGATATTTACGATAGATCAAAGACTGAAGATTATAACGTAGAAAGTGAAGATTATATTGATTTCGACATATAAGGACCATCCAGTTTGTATCCCATTTTCCTGGAAGCAATATGTCACAACTTTTTCCCAAAAGAAATCTAAGAACGAAGAATAGAGCATAACTGTTAACTGCAACGAATCATCAGCTAAGTTAGAATTGAAACTTGGAGAATCCAATTAAAAAAAATGTTTTTCGCTGCTGCACGTGCTTAAAATGAATGTATTTCAGTTCCAGAATTTTCTTTGAATAAATCTAAAACATAACTTGAGAAACTCCCACAAACAAACAATAACTAAACGAGGTTGATGAAACAAATTACCTAAACGAACAATACGCCATTCCTAAACGAGATAATAATCAAGAATTTTTGACTTAAAGATCTGATTCCTACAGGAATTAATGATAGAGCTCATAAGAGAGATGCAAAAAATGTTGCGCTGTCTATGAAATGTAGTGCTAGGAGTAAACCAAAAAAATATTAGCTCTTGTCCATAACCTGTGCTCAGGTTTTCCCTGCAGTGTTCTGCACTGTTTTCTACGGCAAAAATAAAAAAGCAAAAGAACAGACCGGTAAGCATGAAATTACTAGCCCACATTTTGGAATCTCTTAAATTTCAAAGAACCAGTAAAGCTGCATTAGGTAGAATTAATTTCCTTGTTACGATAATACTTATTTTTGCCGTAGAAAACACTGCAAAACACTGCAGAAAACTATTGCACAAAAAGAAAATTAAATTTGTTCTGCATACGACAATCTTATTTTCAAGACTCTGTTGATTTCCCGTGTCAAACAAATTAAATTTTCATCTTTCACTTTTTAGAATATGTTCCCTTCCTTTACTAATCTGTTTAAGAGCCAGTGGTACGGAACAATTTAAGTCCAGGGATAATCAGCATTTCTTGTGATAAATATTTTCAATAATCTAGAAGGTTTCACATATTTCCAAAAAACCCGATAAAGTTGACAAAACTAACCGATAATAATTCCTTGTACCTACACCAGAAATAACTGCTAATTTTTTGCTACAATGTTCATTTTTCGCAATTCGTTCTGCTTCTTCCATTAACAGTTGTCCGAATCCTTGATGCTGGAATTTGGATGGATCTCGAGCTGATACGGGCACTACCGAGCCATAAACATGCAACTCACGAACGATCGATACTCCACCCTGAAAGTGATT